CATCCCTGCTGGGCAACCCAGGCACCTGAATTTTGTGCCTGTTTCTTCTCACCAACCTGGCCTAGGCACTGTCCCCAAATAAAGGAACTCCTTCCAGCACTGTGCTTCATGTCCTGTGTCTTGGGCTATGCGTGAATGGATGGGGTGAGGGTATGGCCACTGTCCTCTCCTTAACAGGCATCCTGCCTAGAATTGTTGCTATCACCTTTTGAAGTATTTTCATCTTTGATACTTGCTTAATCCTTTCCGCCTGCCCTTGTAGTACAGGTTGAGAGTTTGAAGATTCAAAAAGGTAAATACACCTGTTCAGGGTCACACTGCTGGATGGGGCAGGGCTGGGGTTTCAATCCAGGCTCTTCTGACCCCAGCATGAACAGAACTCCGTCGTTGATACACCTCCAGACTCTCACAGACCCCTCAAGATAGGTCTTTGCCCAAGATAGGTCTTTGCCCGAGTATCTAGGTGGAGTACCCTTCAGCTCTCCTAGGCAGCTGTTTCTGGTCTTTGTCACTCGGGCTCTCCTAGAAAGACCTCTGTCCCGTGTGCCATCCCTGGGCACAGACATCTTCCCTGACTAATAACATCTCCCACTGATCGAGCACTTGCTGGGAGTTGATCTCATTTAATCCCATGCCTATGTTAAGAGGGTGAGAGAAATAGAGTAATGGTTGAGAGCTCAGCTTATGGAGCCCGATTGCTCAGTGTGAATTCTAGCATGTTGTTTAACAGCTCTGGGCTTCAGTTTTCTCATCTGTAAAGTGGGGATAGCAACAATATCCAACTCAGTGGTATGTGGAGAGGGTTCAGAGCAGGTATGTGTGCTGTGTGCTTCATTTCAGGGCTCCCCAACTGCCCTGCCAGCTGTGCAACCCATGGCTGTGCCCTGTCACCTCTTCCTCCTCCGGTGTAGCCACCCTTTAGGGTCTCTGGCTCCTTCTTCTTGGCTCACAGAGGGATCACCTGCTCACACACCACACCCCACGACGATAACCCCAGTTTACCTCCTCACTTGCTTCTGCCAAAACTCCCAGCGTCTCAATCATCAGTCCCCTTGATTTCTCCTCCAGTTCGCTAGGTCTACCTCTCATTCCCAGTCAGCCTTGCCTTCTCCAGCCTCTATGCCTGTGCACATATTGTTTCTCCTGCCTGGATCACCCTTCCCTGGCTTCTCCCTCAGCACAATTTCTCTTTCCCACCCTCCTCTCATTTATTTTTTTAGAGACAAGGTCTCACTGTGTCACCCAGGTTGGAGTACAGTGGTACAATCACTGCAGCCTCAAACTCCTGGGCTCAGGCAACCCCCCAGCCTTCTGCCTCAGTCTCCCAAGTAGCTGGGACTACTGATACGTGCCACCGCACTCTGTTTTTGTTTTCATTTTTTTAAGAGATGGGGGTTTCTCTGTGTTGCTCAGTCTGGGCTGAAACAATCCTCCTGCCTCAAGCCCCTGAGTGTGTTTCAGACCTTTTTCTATGAATTTACAACATGTATACACACATAGTGTTTTTAAAATACAAAGCAGGATTATGCTATACATATTGTTTTGCACTGTCATCCCTCTCATCACAGATCGGATTCATCCTGTCTTGTCCAGATAGTCATAATTTATTTGCCTGGATCCTATCAATGGTCAGTTGGGTCACTTCCATGTTGATTCTTACAAGGAACACCATGATGAACAGGCTTGTTCAAAGATCTTGGCACACCTGTGGGAGGGTTTAGGGAGGACAGAGTCCCCAGACTGCAACTACAGTGTCAGGGCATCTCTCATGGATGCATTCTGCCAAGCCAAGTCAGCCTCCCTCTCCCTGATGTCACCTTGTGTCTCACCCCCACAAGCACAGGGCCCAGCATAGAAGGGGCCCTCGAGGAGGGTTTGCTGAATGCATGAATGAAGGAATGAGCTCTTCCTCTCCTCCCCTATCACCTGAGAACCCTCTCCAGCTCAGGGCTCATCCTTCCCGTCTGGGCCATGGCTGCTGGGTCATCACCAGCCTCAGCCTCCAGCACCCTCTGCACAGGCTGCCCTTCCAATTGCCCTGTCTAGCAGCTGTCTCCTGGGACTTAAGGTTGGGTGTGAAGTCACTTCCCTAAGGGAGCTTTTGGCTGGTAGGGGCATGGGACTTGAGTAAAAGCTCTGTGGGTATGGGCATATACGTGCCAGAGAAAGCAAGACCATGTCCTATCTCTGGGCTTCAGTTTCTCTTCTGTTCTTTCAACAACTATTTAGTGAGCACCTGCATAACCCAGGGCCAGTGACAGGGGCTAAGAGCAAGGCTGGGTAATGTTGGGAGATAATGTGTGAACTGAATTCTGGGTGACATTAGAGTATAGTAGGTGACCAATAAATGGTGGAAGTGGTTACTGTGAATAGTGTTGACAAGAAGGGTGGGCATGGTGGCTCATGCCTGTAATCCCAGCACTGTGGGAGGATCTCTTGAGCTCAGGAGTATGAGACCAGCCTGAGCTAGAGCAAGACCCTATCTCTACAAAAAATAGAAAAATTAGCTGGGAGGCTGAGGCAGGAGGATCACTTGAACCCAGGAGTTTGAGGCTGCAGTGAGCTGCAATGACAACACTGCACTCTAGCCTCGGTGACAGAGTGAGATTTTCCGTTTCCAAAATAAATAAAACAGGAGTGTTAAGGATCAGGGAAAGATTCCTAGTGGAGATGGCCTTACAGGTGGACCTTCCTGGACAGGTGGAGCTTCACAAGTAGAGGGGAATATGAATGTAGAGGCCTAGAGAGACAGCTGGGGAGCTATAGCAGCCAGATCAGAAGTTGGATTCCAGCTCAGCATCTGTGGCTCAACCGGCTAAGGCGCCAGCCACATACATCTAAGGTGGCGGGTTCGAATCCCCAGCCAGGGCCCGCCAAACAACAATGATGGCTGCAACCAAAAAAATGGCCAGCGCTGTGGCGGGCGCCTGTAGTCCCAGCTACTTGGGAGGCTGAGGCAGGAGACTCGCTTGAGCCCAGGAGTTGGAGGTTGCTGTGAGCTGTGAGGCCATGGCACTCTACCTAGGGGGATAGCTTGAGGCTCTGTCTCAAAAAAAAAAGAAGTTGGACTCCATCCTGGCTGGACAGAGCAGAAGAAGGAAATGCTCCCACGCCCCTGCTGGCTCCAGCCTGGGTGGGGTGTCCCTAGGGGACAATCGTAGGAAGTCTTTCTTCATATCCTTCCACCAGCCTGGCCTCTTATAAGCCAGCATCCTCCCTCTGGTGACCCCAGCAAGATGGGCCTCCTTTGGACCCCGCTGTCCCTGCTGCTGCTCCTGCTTGGGGCACCTGCCTGCCTGAGGGCTCAGGACAACCCCAGTTGCCCAGGTAGGAGCCTAGGGTGCTCTCTCCAACAACCCAGCTCTCATTTCCTCTCTGGGGTGTTCCTCCACTCAGGCTCACCAGCCCCAAGGAGAAGGGAGGGGGTTTGATAATCTGGGCTCTGCATGTAAATATATGCAAATAGGATGCAAATCATGCAAAACCTTGCCAGCTCAGGAGAAAAATATCCTGACAGCTAGACTCTGGGAGTTTGAAAGAGAACTGCAGAGGGGTCTGGGAAAGACAAGCCTACCCTGTGCCCACCCACCTGTGTCTTGCTGCAGGACCCAGGGAACTGGAAGCCAGCAAAGTTGTCCTCCTGCCCAGCTGTCCTGGAGCCCCAGGAAGTCCTGGGGAGAAGGGGGCTCCAGGTCCTCAAGGTGAGCGATGTGAAAGATTCTGGGGAGCTGGCAGAGACCTTGGAGTAAACCAGGGCAGCAGCAGGTATTCTCTATGCTGAGGAGCCACAACAAAGGGCAAGGAAGCTCCTCTGTGCCAGGCTCTGACTGGGAGGAGCCCAGCATCCTAAGATCAACTCTGCCAATTAGGCAGTATCATCTCCATCTTACTGAAGAGGAAAGTGAGGCTAGGGGAGGATGCATTGTTTGCCCACAGTCACAAAACTAATGAAGAAACTGGGATCTGAACTTTTTTTTTTTTTTTTTTTTTTTTTTGAGACAGAGCCTCAAGCTGTCCCCCTGGGCAGAGTGCTATGGCATTACAGCTCACAGCAACCTCCAACTCCTGGGCTCAAGCGAGTCTCCTGCCTCCGCCTCCCAAGTAGCTGGGACCACAGGCGCCCGCCACA